CATCTCTACTGCAATGTAGTCATGAAAGCAGGCTGAGTCATAGAATTCAGAGATGGAACACAAGAAAGACCTCTGTAATAAGAAAGTCATGTGACTCAGGAATGAATAGCCAAACTTGTGAAATATTCCCCAGAGAACTCTCAGAATGGTGTAACATGAGTGGGGCCTGTTTGTTTGTGTTTCTGTCCTGCCCGGCCCCCCAGCTGTTTAGTCCCAGAGAAAAATCACACACAGATCTCTTAAGTTATAATGCTGATTGGCCCATTAGGTCAGGCTACTCATTAGCTAACTCTTACATCTTGATTAACCCATTTATCTGATCTATTTTAGCCATGTGGCTCTGTATCTTTTTCAGTGGGGCAGCTCACATCCTGCTGCTTTGGTGGCCTGGGCAGGAGTGGGAGAATCAACTTCCTCCTCCCCAGAATTCTCCTGCTCTCCTTGCATCATTTCCACTTCCTGTCTGGTTTTCCCACCTACACCTCCTGCCTGGCCAATCAGCGTTTATTTAAAACATGATTGACAGAATACAGACAATTCTCCCACACCACTTCCTCCTCTTTTTTTAAAAAAAGAAAAACAAAGGAAAATATTCATAGTCCATTTTTTGGGAACGTGGGCTTAGTATTCCAGGCTACTTCCTGCTGGTTGGGGGTGCTGATAATCTTATGGGGACCTAAAAAAAAATTATCATCAAGTCCTGACTGAAGTATCCTGTGAGTCTTGATCATCTCAGGTAGCAGTCTTGAACCTGTTCTGGATGAAGAACTCAGACATCTGGGCCATCTGTTCCTACTGGAGATTGCTCAGGTGGTCTCCCTTGGTTAAAGATGATTTTTCTTAACTCTGAATAAATCCACAGCCTCTCATTTTCTGTGGAAGCAAAATCTTTTTTCCAAAGTAACATACCTTTTGACTTCAATTTTGAAGCCAAGGTATTTTCAAAATATCTATCTTGGATTAATTCTGCAGCATTTATAAGCAAATATCTTTTAGCAGCTATTGCTCCTTCCTCAGCATTTAAACAATTCAAAGAGAGCATAATAGCATACAGTATCAAGATTCTCTGTGTATTTTCCATCTTTATGTGGCTTTATTTTAACCTCTATTTCTTTTATTTTTACTTTTAACTTTTGGCTTTTTGAGACAGGTTCTCTGCATATCTTTGTCCTGGAATTCCCTCTGTAAACCAGGCTATCTTTGATCTCCCAGAGATCCATCTGTCTCTGCCTCCCAGGCTACCCCTTCTTTCTCTTTCTTTCTTTCTTTCTTTCTTTCTTTCTTTCTTTCTTTCTTTCTTTCTTTCTTTCTTTCTTCCTTCCTTCCTTCCTTCCTTCCTTCCTTCCTTTTTTAGTCTGAGAACTTTAACCTTTAGCCTGTATATATTTTTAACAAAATGTAAACCATTTAGAGGTTTTCTTACTCTTTGAATCTCTCTTTACTGTTTATCTCTCTTTTTCTGACCACATGGGTCTTTAATTTGCTAAGGAATATGGAGAAGACAACACTCAAAAGCTCTTAAGGCGTTTCAAAGTCCTTGCCAGGAAGCAAGCTACAACAGTGTTTCCATAGTCTGGACTGCCTGCTTGAAAGAGAGCGTTTTCCCTGACAGGACCGCCCAGAAAGCTGGCATTTTAAAACTGCGCAGCTTTTTTCCTGCTACAGCTGAAAACCAAAATGCTTTACTCTAGTCTTTCCCAAGCTTTCTCAGGCTTTCTGTGGATTCAGTTATCCACGTGGCCACCAAATAATGGTGAATCAATCCCACACCAGTTGTTTTAAAGGGGTATTTATTTTGGAGGGGGGGGGTAAACTTACATGCACATAAACCATCAGGAAAGGAGCCTAGTCGCTGGAGCAGGAGCCAGAACCAGGCACCAGAACCAAGAGGCCGAGCCAAGGCTTGCCACTCTTCTTTTAAAGAGAAATATACCATGCTCCAGTGGGCTGATATTTCAGCAGCTATTGACTGAAGGAGCTGAAGGCACTCCCACAGCACTGTGGGCTCATGCTTCAGCGACTATTGGCTGAAGCAGTGGAAGGTACTCCCGCAGCAGAATGGGCTGGGTTCTCATGTGTTTGTGGTTAGCCAATTAGATGTGGTCTTGCTCTGTGGTAGAGAGCACAGATTCACCAATATTGAATCACTTCAGAGTCTGAGTCCACGAAGCAAAAATTGGCCCCTGGACGTGGAAAACTTCAGTGTTGTCTCCTGAATGTACCTCGCAGAAATCCCACTTGGGCCAAGACTGTGGCAAGTGCCTAGCAATGTCCAGACTGAACATAAGCTCGTGCCTGTCGGTTTTTCCAGTGTACGTGGGAACACTGGACATACTCACAAATCATCTGGGAAATCATCAAGGTATGACAATAGGCCTACACTCCCTAGAAACACTTCACTATCTAAACACTAATCTTTTTTATCTCTTGTTGATGTTGTTGGAAAAACACATAGACATCTGTATACAATAACCAAATCAAATTAACTTTGGCATTCAAATAGTTCTGAAATACTTGATATTAAGACAATTGATGATTGATATAACAGACGACTGAAGGCTCCTCCTTACTCATAGTTTGTTCTCATTTTAATGTTTTGTTCTGTCCCCTATATGTGATTCTCCTGGGGAAAAATACATAACTGGGTAAATATGGTCCTAGTATTTGGTACTTAGTGATGTCTTTTGCACAAAAGCAGAATGTAATAGGCCTGGATTACTTTGAGCAATAACAAAAAACCTTGAAGATTAGCAGGGATATATTTAACACCTACAATTTAGGCTCCCAACTTAAAAGTTCACAATTGCTCAACTAATCAAACATTTCGATAAAGACTGAAGATCTAATGAGAGGTCAGCTCAAAGCAATAAAATAAATTGACACTAAATTATGTCAGCAGAAATACCCTTGCTTAGGAGAAAATGGCAGAAATGTGTGTCCTCCTCCACAAATTTCACATGTAAAAATATATATCCCAATTGTATCAGAAGGTAAGACCCTTCCTAAGTGATTAGTAGTTCATAAGGGTTGATCCAGGAGAATAGGATTGGTGCCTCTGTAGGAAAGGCATCCGAAAGGTTTCTCAGTCCCTTTCAGAAAGTCACCCATCTGCAGACTGGAGTAATACTTTCACCAGAGCTTGACAATACTGGTGCCGTATCTCAGATATTGATGTACAGCAAAACTCTGAGGAATAAATTTCTGTTGTTGACAAGCCTTGTAGTCTGTGGTCCCTTATTATAGAGATGTGAGCCAGTTAAGATACTATCCCAACATGCTTCACATTTATTGCACAACTGCTGAGGCAATGGAGGTCCTATTTAGGGAACTATTGGAGGATTCCACCCCAGCATGACATGTGAGCAGGGAAAATTGCATTAAATGACGCCAAGGGTTCTGAAAAGTCTCTGCCCATGACAGTCCCCTGACTTAATCTACCATGAGGGCTTCACACAGGAGTCTTACTCATTACTTGGATGATTGTTCTTTGTTTTAGTCTTTGACTAATTATCACGCTCTTGGATCACTCACACACAAATTATCCTTCTGAGTGCGTGAGTGATGTGTGGGTTGTATTCCCTAACCGTTCCTCTCAATCTTATCCCAGTTCGGCATTTAATGATTTACTTTATTTTACTTCCTGATGGCCCACTAACCATGACCTCCATGAGAGTTGAGGCCAAATCAGATTTGTTCAAGGCTTTATACTGTCAAATACAAAGAATGTCTTTAGAATGGCAGTAAATAATCAAGATAAAGAAAGCATGTTCTCTAATTCTGTGAGACATGAACCTCAAAGGCAATTACTTATTACAGATGTATTTATGATAAAGTATGAAAGGCCCCAAAACAAAACCATGGGTGAAAACACCAGCACACTTCTTCTGAAAGAGAAAGACTCTGTGAAGGAATCTTGCGAAATCAAAACCCTAATTTGATAACCATCAAAACAGGTACATGGAACTGAGTAACTTGTCAGTTTTAGCCATCAGAAAGTGGAGATGCATGTGTGTGTGTGTGTGTGTGTGTGTGTGTGTGTACATGTATGCATAGTATTTATTTATATATACCTATAAATGATTTTCAACAGTATTTCACAAATGGATGGATGGATGGATGGATGGATCGATCGATCGATCGATCGATAAATCGATGGATGGATGGATGGATGGATGTCTAAGATCCAGAAGATAATTGCCCACAAGTTGTTGAACAATTTAGTACAGAATTGTTTACCTTTTGAATTATTTCTTTACTTTTTGAGGAAGTTATATTACTTAATTTCAATATATCACCTTTATTTTATAATTATGAGGTTCAAAATGATTGCGCAATATCTCCTCAATTCATTATTTTATTCACCCATTAAACCAGTAGGTTTTGCATTTATTTTTCTACATCCTGACTGTAGTTTCTCCTCCCTCCTCTCCTCCCAGTTCCCCCACCTCCCTTTTCCCCACCCCATCTACTCCTCCTCCATTTCTGTTTTGGTTTTTGTTTTGTGTGTGTGTGTGTGTGTGTGTGTGTGTGTGTGTGTGTGTGTGTTGTAGGGGGGCATGGGATTATCTGCATAAAAACCCTGGCTATTCTGGAACTCCCTTTGTAGACCAAGCTGGCCTCAGACTCACAGACCTGCCTGCCACTACTCCATGTGCCACCACTCCCTGGTGATTTTTCAAAATTTTAAGCATAGTTGTCATATTACCCAGAAATCCCATTCTTACAGATGTACCTAGAAGAAATGAAAATACATACCCACAAAAAAAAACCTTACTCAGAATTATCCATAGCAGTTATTATTCATAGTACTCATAAATTCAAAATGACTTAAGTTTACCTCATCTGATGACTGGTCTAACAAAATTTTATATCCCTATTATCTAACATTATTCAGCAATTAAAAAGCTATGAGTTATTAATAGATTCTGTAAAGTGCCTAAACTTTGAAGACACAAGGAAAACTAGACATAGATGATTTGTATTATCAGATCTCACATGCATGAAAATTCTAGTGAACAAAACCAGGGAGACAAGAAGGCAGATTGGTGGCCATTCTGGGATGGTGGGTATAGCAAAGAACGTGGACTTAGTGATAATGGACAGAAGAGTTTATTTGCAGAACAGTAGAAGTACTCTAAAAAAATAGGGTGTTTAATCAGGGAATATACTAAAATATACTAAAATTTAGCCAGATTATATTGCTCAGGTCATCTGGACAAAATCTCAGTAAGTAATTTTAAAGTCTCAGAAAGGAAATGGTGATCAGAACACAACCCTAACAAGATGACCAAAGCTTTCTGCTCCCACGCCACCTCTCCTTGCTGTTTCTCCCTGCACTTGTTTACCTGAGCTTGCCGGCAAGCTGACACCGCTTTTGCTGGTACCGTTCACCCATGTTTGGTTCCAGAGGCTTAATTACTTCGCTTCTTGCCTTTCCTCTCCCCAGCTGTGAGCCGCTAAAACTGGCTGACAAGTTTTCTTCAGAATTTACAAAATTTGAATTCTGCGAGTCCATTCAGGATCTTGCTTAACTGCAAACTTGGATCCTGTAGGTTTGGGAAGAAGCCACAATTTGGCAATTTTAACAGGTTCTCAATTGATACTGCCAAATAGCAAACACATATTGTGTGGAAAATGGAGACTGCGCCCGGCTTTAGGGTGTTTCATGGATCGTGTTAAGCGCTATGTGTGCGGTGATGAGAATGGGAGATAAACAGTTAAACATATCCTCCATAATTCACTAAAACATCGTTAAATGTTTAAAATGAGCACATAAAACTTAAATTGTGTCTAAGGACTCCAGCTCTTCTATATCCTTGTAAGAGAGCTTTCTGGTCATCTTTTCATTATTGCCATCTCAGAAGATGTGTGGAGATATGCTCCTAAGGCTCTTATTGACACTTGTTGGATGTTTATGATATAAGCCCCTTAGCTATGCTTCATATCATATTTTTAAACATTCTGAAACATACATCTAATATGTATACATTTAGACAACCAAGTCAACCAAGTCTGATATTGTTTATTCCATTCTTTCTCTTATACATTCATCTAACAAATACTGTTAGATGAACAAAAGCTGCTGTCATATGTCAGGAATATTGTCTCTCCCATCAAATCATAATGCAGTATGGTTTATAAGCTAATAAATTATCTAGGGTCTAGAAGTCATGAATGGTGGTACAGCACTCTGAAGACTGAAACAGGAGGATTATAGGTGTGAGGCCATCCTGGGTTACATGCTAAATAAAAGAGAAAGAAAGGAAAGAGGAAAGAAAGGAAGGGGAGGGAGGAAGGGAGGGAGAAGAGACAAGGAGAGAGGGAGAGAAGGCCCTGAGTTCTTTTGCACAGCTTGTGAGCAAATGTGAGCCAGTGAACTAGATTTACATCCTTCCCACAGAGAGAAGGGGTCCTGTGTCCCACAAGAAGGCATAACAAAGGTTTTGTCTTGTTGCCACAGGAACACCGCTGTCTGGTCGGAGATGGACTTGACTGATGGGTTTTCTGTGATAGCTTCGTGGCACTTAATCTCAGCCAAATCTTAATGTGTGGGATTTATTGCAGTTGAGTTCTGAAATTTAAAATGACCATCTGTGGCACACGTGTGTGGTATGTAAAACAGAAATATATTGTAGGCCAGTCTGACCTGAAGCTAAGGGTGTTAGCATAGTGGCAGGCTGCTGAACTCACTCAGGGCAAGACAGCAAACTGAATCAGCTGGATAATAGCGGCCGTTCCCAGTGCAGGTGACATGCTTCCAATACAATGGCAAGTATGAGATGTTTGTTGGCAATTCCTCCCATTGCCTTTATAAGAGACTGTGCTATGTACATCCAGAAGTGCAGTTTACTTAACTGGGATAGGATAGCTAATTAAATAAACCCAATGACAGAGAAAAACATTCCATAGTATCAGAGCCTGGAGAAGATTGTGTTGAGGTTTCCAGGTAGATTGTCAGGGTCAAAGTTGAGACATAAATGCACACGGTTGTGGTCAAAAAAAAGAAAAAATTAATAATAGCATTCTCAGTTGAAAATAAAACACATCAAAAGTTTACAGTTGTTACAATTCAAATATGATCATGGATGCATTGCTTATTATATACATATAGAATATGTCATATTATATACATCAAGACTGAAAATGTAAAACCTTAGTGGAAAGCTGGTCTTGTTGAGTTTTACAAAGAAACTTTACAAGAAGGAGAAGTCATGAAGTATGGATTATTCATTGTATTTTACATGTGGTTTCTGACACTGACTTGCCTGGATTGGAGGATGAAACAATGCATTTAAAATAAGTTCTTGGATCTTATGGCAGCAGATCTCAGATAACTATCTCTATGGCTTTGGTTTGTGCTCATATGACTGAATTCAGTTAGTGTAGTTAATCCACAGAATATGCTTGAACCACACTTCTAATGAACTGGTGACTGGTTTCACAACCTAAACTAAATATAACATCCAAATATTTTTCTAGAATATACTTGAAGACCCTCAAAGAGTCTTTGGAAATTTCTTCAAGAGGAAAGTTAGTAGAGTGGCAATCAAAACATTGCCTTAGACTATTGAATAAGTGGCTTTAATAATCTCAACTTCAATGATCTTGATAACCTGACAATGTCATAGGGATGGAGAGGGACAGAGCGAGTCAGGAAAACAGAGCAAATATGTGTTCATCTTTCTGACAACACTCATCAGGGTCCAACTGTAAATGACAGAAATCCAACTCAAACTGAAAAGGAAACATACATAAGCCACTGGATATGTAAGTGGTATATTCAGCAAGAAACATAATTTATCCCTTTAAAAGAAAAGAAAATATGGACCAAGGCTATTTTGCCTCTAATGTAGGCAGGTTGTTGACAAGGGACAAAGGAGCTGTCAGTTATATGGTATGTGGAACAAGATTTCACCAGAGATTGGTTTAGCATGAAAGTAGTAAAAATATGTCTCCACATTTATTCATTCACTGAACAAATAATCTATCAAGTGACTATTATATATGAAACATTTGGTAAAATATCTTGCATTCAACAGTTGTGATCTGCAACATACTCTGAAATTTTGATGTACAAGATGTTACAATGAAGCCTGGAGGTAGTGGCACACACCTTTAATCCCAGCACTCAGGAGGTAGAGGAAGGCAACTCTCTGTGAGTTCGAGGCCAACCTGGTCTACAGAATGAGTTCTAGGACAGGCTCCAAAGCTACACAGAGAAACCTCGTCTTGAAAAACAAATAAACAACATCAAAAAAGATGTTCAATGAAGTCAACAATGCAAAGCTATGGCAGGGAGAGCCAAAAGTTCTTCCAAGGCAGGGAGAAAAGCCTACGATCAGGATAAGCTGGAAGGATGCAGAATTGTGACCCATTTTCCTAGGTCCCAGTGAGCCATAAGGATCAGAGTGACTAAGCTAACCATGGTCATTTGAGCTGAAACTCACTGCTCAGGAGGCTGAAGCAGTCTACATGTGAGACCTTGTGAGGAAGGGCATTCTGGGAAAGAAAGCAAAGTGGGGAGGAGAAAGGGAGAGGAGTGATAACTAAGAAATTGTTTATTTGGGAGAAGACTGAAGCAGCCCTATCTCGTGGTTTGTACACTTACCCCCCCCCCAAAAAAAAGGAATGCAGATATAATAGAGGACATCAGTCACGTTAGCAGAATCGAGGCTGTGGCAGCAAGTACTTACAACATCAGACTAGCCTAAACCAGAACGCATGTGCTTCTCCTGATTGCACAGCCCTGTGAAACTAATCTGATCCTAGTCTCTGCAGCTCTGTCTCCATTGCCATTCCAGAAGCAGTCTTTATATGGAATATCGTTATTATCATGGGGACAAAAGCTGAAAGGTTAAAACTTGTCAAATGACCTTTAAAAAGAAGCATAGGTGGTGTTCTTCTACAAAATGTCCAGATGTTAGAAGGCTGAAATACTTATCCAACAAACCAGCCACATGTCTACTGTGGCTGAGCAGAGCGAGAGAAAACTGACTGAGAAGAAGAAATCTTTTAGCCCACAAGAAATGTACCTCTATATATCCTAATGGACAAGATGCTTACTCAAGATAGAAGAATATAAATACTTAGCAATAGTTTCCAGCTCAAAAGGTATTTGCTGAAGGAAGTAGCATATAACCAATGGAGTCTGATCCGCTGTTCCCACTGCCAGCTAACCAATGGAGTGTGATCCACCCTACCCTCTCTATTCCCACTGCCAGACTCAGACCGGGGTGCACAGCATGTGCACTGCTCCTGTCTACTCTTTTGTTCTTAGCCCACTTGTCCCACATCCAGCCTCCTCACATTGGGGGCCTACGCCCAGGTCCATCCCAGCAAGGGTAGTTCTTGTCCCTCAATGAAGAAGCTGGGGTTAAAGTTGTTGTGTGACAGATGGAGAGACCGTTATCAAAAGGCAAAACTAATCAAAAACCAGAGAACAACTAAACACGGGGTGCCCAGACCTAACGGATCCATCTATAAAATAATCCTTACACCTAAGTCTCAAGGAATATTGTCAAAGATGGGGCAGAAATAATAAAAAAAATCAGAGGACCAGGGTGACTACTGTGAGATCGTGTCTTACATATAGGACAGGGAACCTGCAGCCATGAAATCTCAACAATACGCCAATCAAAACAAGACTTGAACTGGTTGACATGCCAGTGAGTGTAGGGAAAAATCGCTCAAGACTCTGTTTCTAGATGAAGAGCTATGGATAACTAATGACTGCCCGTGAGAGAGAGAGTACCAATCTCTCCCGGCGATGAGCTCCCTAATCAGCTAACCAATGCTAAATGGTCATCCCAAAATATATATACATAGGAGCACCACTACATGATCTCAGCAGGTTACATTTATGAATTTGTGTGTGTTTGTGTGTGTGTGTGTGAGAGAGAGAGGGGGGGAGAGAGAGAGGGAGAGGGATGGAGGAAGAGAGAGAGGGAGAGAGAGAGAGAGAGAGAGAATACAATGACAATTAGAGAAAAGAGTCTATCAGCTTGAAAGGAATCCAGCAGGAATATAGATGTTGGAGGGAGGCAGGAATGATGTAAATACAAGTTCATGCATGACATTTAAAAAATAATAAGAACTATTGACACAGTTTTTCTTTTAATTTTTAATTCACATCACTGGAGTGTTTTTTTAGAGATGGGGTTTCCAATGCTGCCACTCAACTGTCTGGGAAGAGCAGGGTGAGCTTCATTGTCATCTTTTGATGATGCTGGCCAGAAGCTGCTTTACAGCTCAGGTTCTGCGTCCACAGCACACTCGCTGCCCAGGGGCAATGAGCTAGCAAGCTCCTTGCCTGAGTGAGCCAAGTCTATTTCACGTGGAAACACTAGAGTCCACCCAAGCACCCAAACTCATCAAGCAATAAGGGACATCACGAGAATCTGCAGTGTGTCCTCCCTTTGACATCCTTCTGGCTGTGCTCAGTGAAAAGTCATAACTGCCAGGAAGAGATGGGACTAATGAAACAAAAATGTCACTGATGTCACAGCAACACTGCACGAAGCCTTGAAAACAGGTTGCCTGCCTGCTTTCTTCATTGCTGGATGTGTGGAAACTTCTCTGACTGCTCAACGAAGAAGTCACCCTTCAGCTGCCAAAAACAATAGCAGTAATCTGTTTGACTGAACTTTGCAAACACTGGCAAATACTGACCTGAACTATACGTGAAGGGCTTGACATATCTGACAAAATTGGGGTACCCCAAACTGAGCCGCACTCCCATGCAAAGACAGGAAGACTTTAAAAATCCTCCCCTTGGAAAGTCCTCGGTGAGGGAAGGGCCTGGTGTATCCTGCAAGGCTTGCTAGAAATCAAGCATCTCTGCTAGAAATATATTTGATTTTTGTTATTTAAAGAGAAAGAAAGTTAAAGACTGGGACAAGAGTCTCCCTAGATATCCTGAAAGCCAGCATTTGGCTTATCAGAACTACCATTTGTGAAAGCCCAACCCTGGGGCCCTTGCTAGATTCTGGTTCCATTTTCATGACTTTTCACAGCACTTTAAACCCCAGAAGGCAACTTTGACATGGATTTTTACAATAAAAATATTATTTTTTAATGCCAAATGATAAACGGGTCTAATGAATTGAAGCAGTATCTGAAATAAAATTAAGTTAAGCATGAGAACAGCCCTGGGGCGATAGCTAAGAGGGCAAATGAGCTTGCTTGACAAACATGAGGTCCTAAGTTCAGAGTTCAGATTCTCAGAGCCAATGAAAGAAGCCGGATGTACCACACACATCTGGAACCCCAGGATTATGGGGTTGAGATAGAAAAGAAGGTGGGACCTCTGGGACTTGCTAGAAAAAAAACTTGATGAAAATAAAAACAGAACAAAAGGCTCCAGGATCAGCAAAAGACCTGTCTGGGAAGATGGCAAAGAGGGTATGTGCATGAGAACATGCTACCCACACACAAATATGTGCATGCATGCATGCAAAATAAGAAGTAAGAAAATGTGAAGGCTGTTCACCAGATAACTGATTATAATCTTCAGTGAAAAGTTTTTTGACACATAGCCTCCTCTTGGGAGGCATAAACAGCCCTTTAATTAGTCCTGCATCAGGGAAGCACTTGCCAGGATGCTGTACAGTATTCTGTAATGACTTCCAGACAGCACTAATCAACTTGAAGAGAGAGGACACTTGAAGTCAGTGGGGAAAATGAATAATGGAAATGGCACCTTGTCAAAGAAACGGGGAAAAAACTGAAAGTTGATTATTCAAACAAATATTTAATTGCTGTCACAGTTTGAGCCATGTGCTGGCCATCCTTTGTGATGTTTCTTGAGCCGCTAGATGTGTAAGGTAGTGGGTCCTGGTGGCAGCAAGTGGAGCCACTGCAGGTGTGCCAGAGAAGTCCTTTGGATTCTTTGACTTCCCAGCCACCTTTCTTCAACCACCAGCGTTTACTGCCATGGTCTGCGCTGTCATAGACCCAAAAGCCATGGCGTCAAGTGATCATGGACCCCACACTCTCATACTATGAGCTAAAATATGTGTGTCTCCTTAGGAGTGATTTGAGTTACTAATCTTGGGTGTTTATCATGGCAACCAAAAGTTAACATAAAATCTCAGTAACTGCTGTGTGAAAACATAGGCGCTCTTCCTCAACTGAGAAAATTAAGCTATGGGAAGCCAGAGCCCTTGCTGAAGTTTCAGAGGAGAACAAAAGCAATTCTGTGAACATGGGAAGAGGGTAGGCACCCTGGAGGTGATGGTGGCTTGTACTAGGCTGGGGCAGAGGCCAGATGCTACCATGAAGCAGAAAGAACAGCTAAAATCTAGTCCTTGTAGCAGAGGCAACTAAGGCAGTGGCTCTCAACGTGTGAGCTGTGACCTCTTTGGGGGTCAAATGACCCTTTCACAGGAGCTGCATATCAGATATTTATATTATTATTCATAGTAGTAGCAAAATTACAGTTATGAAGTAGCGACAAAAATAACTTTATGGTTGGGGGGGGTCACCACAATACGAGGAACTGTATTAAAGTGCCACAGCGTTAGGAAGGCTGAGAACCGCTGAGCTAAGGAACATGTAGAGCCAGCTATCAGGGGAATCCACAGAGCACTCAAAATTCTAGTAGAAGATGAGGACAATAGTTAGGTCTGCACCAAGGCTTTTAGAGTGTGTAGGACATGGATACACTGGAGTGAAATCAAACATGTCCTCTAAGGCATGCTGGGACTGAGACTCTGCTAATAGTTGTTTGGCTCTCTGTCTGAAAATGCGTAACTCCCTACCCACGAAAGGTGCAACATCCCATGATTTTCTGTAACCAAGCATAATGAGTAAATCAATTTCTTTGCATTTTTTCAAAGCTATTTATACCCAACATTGAAACCCCAGAATGCCTTGACTGGTCAAGAGTATACATGCTTTCCTACACGCTCACTGCAGCTGAGCGCCCTGAGTTATCACCCTGTCTGCTGAAGAGTCTCGCATATCCAGTCAGATTCACAAGTTCCAACAAATTCTAAGAATTCACAACTGTCACATATATTTGTTTCAATATATGCCATATGCTTCAGTCAAATTAAAAGGCTTTATGCCATAGGTCAAGGATCAATTTCAAGATAATCCTAACATTACTTCAAAATGCACAAAAGTAAATATTAAACTCTCTATTTCCTTTAAAAATCTTGCTATCAGCTAATACAACTTACCAAATCAAGGGTATCCACACTGGAGATTAATTAGGAGGTAACTATGATAGATTTGTGTTGTGTTTTCATTTTAAAACATTTATTGAATCTTTCCTTGGTAGATAAAAGAAAGGGTTCTTTTACTAACTTGTCATGTGTGGGGGAGAGAGAGAGAGAGAGAGTGAGAGAGAGAGAGGGAGGGAGGGAGGGAGGGAGGGAGGGAGGGAAGAAGGGAGGGAGAGGAAGAAGGAGGAGGGAGGGAGAGAGAGACAGAGAGAGAAATTGAGAGCTCAATCTCAGCTCCTGGGTGCTGGTCTGGGGCTTGGTTGCAGTGCATGTCACTTTGCCCAGCTCACCAGAACTCTAGCCCTTCCCAGGAGCACTTGCTAATACAGTGCTTGAGCAACTGAGCAGATGGCTCTGATGCTATATCCAGATTCTGCACCATGTCCCAAAGTAACGCTCTGCTGTATGGTGTTATGTGCATAGCTAAAACGGTTGAAGTTAGATGACTTGTTCTTCAGTGATTAGCGAAACTATGAATGTTTTAGATTTAAAACATTTTTTAAGAAGTTTTGGCATTCTAAACCCTCCTTTTCTATAACTTAGGGCGTTTTTATTAATGATATAACTCATTTACCATGACTTTTTTCTTCTAAAAAAGGTTTGCAGTTTTTATTGAATCTACTTCATTGTCTAACCACCCTGTGACCATTTTCTTTTCAATGCCTAGAAATGTTGGCCACTGATTCCACTAAAACTAGAACTGTGCACCGATTGAGGCATCTGACTCTCTTGCAAATACAGAATTGTGGGGGAAGGGGCAACGTGCTGCATCCTGTGGGCTAATGTGCCTCTCCCATGAGCTCCCATATCCCTGAGTTAAGCGCCAACGCTTGGATCCAGTCATGTTAAGGGGAAACTGAAGATAGTAAAGAGACCATACCTCCTTGGTGTGATTGACAGCTGCTGCAGAGCTTCCAGCCAAGTGCAGCCAGGGTGATGGAGCCACCTTGGACATCCAACTTAATGAGGCCTTGACAGAGCTGCAATCCACAACTAAAGGGTGTCGGACACTTCAAGTGGGAATCTCTCAGGCAACTTCTCTGAGTTCCTGACTCTTTAAAGCATGAACAAAATAACAATTGTTTTAACCTTACACATTTTGGACATTTTGTTTTTCAGCATAGATAGTCTGATTTATGTTTTCACTGAGAGATGAACTTTATAGATTGGCTAAGATAAAATGATCCCCTGCAAGCATATTTGCATGCACACACATACATACAGAGAGAGAGAGAGAGAGAGAGAGAGAGAGAGAGAGAGAGCTAAATATATTACTGTGTTCTTCATGCCGGTAAATTTCTCACTCTCTGCCTTCAAATCAAGCATTCTAGGTATCATTGTCCGACCTGTAAAGACAGAGAGAGGCCCTCTGCAACACATTCATCCTGGTCCTTTCTCACTCAGGAAGGCTTTCACCCCGTGCCTCCCAATGTTCCACAAGAGATAATCTTGGGACTTGACTGTTCCTTCCTCCGTGTGTCCTCCGGTTAGAGAAGGGCTGACACTGAGCTCCAGGGGTTTACAGCGTCATTCTCTGGGTCATTCCGCTAGATGAGGGTTTAGTTAATTTGTCTGTTCTGTTGCTTCCATCGTACTAGACGCAATATTTCATAAATGCAACCCAAGACTGCACTGGGCTACTTTTCTAACAGCCACACCATGCTATTGGCTAATGTTATGCCTGTCATCAAATGGAAATCCCAGAGTTTTGCCATCTGTACTGCGGCCAAGCCAGCTCACTCTCACGCAGCTGACTTCTGGACCTAAACAAAACCTGAACCTTGGTTCTGTTTTATGTCATGTCATTGATTTCTGCCCAGTGTGTCTCTGATTGTTGAGATCATCTTTATTCTTGGGTTTGTCCCTTAAAGATTTTTTCTTGTTCGGTTTTAAATTCTTGTTTTATGTTTGTGTACTTCATACATGACCACTGCACCTACATCACTCTCTCCCATCCTCTTCCACCTCAATACCCTCCTTGTAAATTCATGGAATCTTCATTATTATTCTTATACACACATATATAAGTAAATATATACATATATGCATGTATATATACAACATATGTGTGTGCATTTAAGTAAGATAATATCCTTCATATGGATTTTCAAACTTGTATTATTTATGTCTCTTTTCTTCACTTAAAAAGTTTTAATTGTAAGTTCCATCTATGTGTCTTATCTCTAAAGTTTTATAAAAATTGTTCATAGAAATATTGAATTAAGGGTGTAGCCTAGCCCAATGTCATTAGAACACTACAGAGTTCCTTCGCAAGTGTTTAAAGCCCCAAATATAAATATTCTCATTGTTTGATCCACTAAGCAGGAAGTTCTTGCCAAAATGTCAGATGCATAGATATAATTGAAATAATTAAGAAGGATTTTATCAATAGTATGAGGTGTGTGCTACCGTTTATAATAAAAATTAATATAATGCCTTTTGTATGGAGAGAGGATAACTCATGGAATATGTAAATTATTTGTCAATTATCTTCCAAAGATTAAATCACATTCATAATAACCCATTTTTGAATATTGTATTACATTAAATAAACGACTACTATGTCTTCATGCAAAGATCAATACTTTTTAATGCATTCAAAATAATAATATCTTTGTTGTATATGATTGTTTAAGATGACATAAAATAATAACAAAACCTTCCCGAAAAGACAGCAATCCCCAGTTTAAGGTTTCACTGTTAAGGTATCTTGAAAGCCCATATGTCATTTTCTTAGATCAGACTTGTTTTTCTCTACTAGTAAAAATAAATACTAATAAATACATGTGTGATTAATGAATAAAAAGACATGAGTTATTGTATTTATTTTCTTCTTATCACAAAATCTTTTTATGGAGTTCATTAACTGGTCGTTCTGTTCGCAGTTCTCTGTCTATTCCACTTTGTATGTGTAGGACTTGTCTCCTTCTCTCCAAGCTGTTCTTACCTATGACAGAGCCCAGGGCTTGCAGCTATGCAGAAGAGATGCTGAGTGTGGTGTAGGATTTCTTCTCCTTTATTTTTCAGTTGCGTTTATCTTTACTTATCGGTAGATAGTGTTGTAACTGAGTACATGTGTGCAGTATGCAATGATTTAATAAGGATAATTACTGTCTCTGGCTCCGTAAGTAGAATCATTTCTGTATGTTGCGAACCTTGGAACCCTGCTCTTGTAGTCGCCTTGAAATGGATAATTAACTGTTCTCCACCGCATCTGTACTGGATTACTATGTAGAAAAAGGACTTTCTGCCCATCTGCGTTTTGATACCCATTATCTTCTCACGCCCTACCAACCTTCTGCCATATACTTGTTACCATCTTTGTGATCCTTTTTACAGCATTTCCAATAATGTGTGACAACGTGAGAACAAGATCAATAAAGTCGTCTCAGGACATCCGAGCATGCAGAAAAGGTGAAAGTCATTAATTTAAGGAAGGCCCGCCTGCATGGTTTTTATTTTTCTGTTTTCTCTTCCTTGGCAAACTCCTGAGATGTCTATCATCTTTCCTCTAAGTTAGAGAGCCCCCTGCTCACTGCCTGCATCCAGAGCACATATTTAAGCTTTACGACTTGCTTCATTACGGTTTGTCATCTGTCCCTCTGAGAGATTGCGATTGTATGTTTGTGGATAAAATAAAACTTGTTCCCCCCCTCCTCTCTTTTGGTGGCGGTCTTGGAGACCACCACAGCCTGAAGTGTGGGTCGATTCAGTTGAACACTTTGGGGGTGGGGAGGGTAAGGCATGGTATTTCTCCACAGTCTCAGTCCACATCTTAAGCGCTGAAGACAAGTGTCAATGTTTTCTCTTTGCCATTCCCAGAAATTATGCAGTCCTCTTCAATCCACATGCTTGCCAAAACTTAAAATTAATTAACAGGCAGAATTAATTTAGTTGGCCAGGCCACAAATAGAAAGGGCAACAGGCTCATGCCCAGCCAGCCCCCGAAGCAGAAGTGTCAACGCTATCCAGAGGCCAGGCAGGGAAATACAATCTTTCAATTCATTTTGAGCTCATGGCTGGAGTGAGGCACTTCATCTTCTTGATTCCCTAGGACGCAAGCACACTTTTCCAAAGGGAAAATTAATTTCCACCAGAAACAACAAGTGTAATCTAACATGAGCAAACAATCTCGTTCTGTTTATAGTGACCCTGACCCTGCCTCTTGTGAGAAAGCAAATTAATAAATAACCTCAGCATGGGGTGTCAATGCACATCTGACCCCTTGAAGACTTGGCGGATGTTCAGGAGCCCCCAGAACAGGAGAAAAGGAGCCCTTTCTTAGCCATCTGGACTGATGCTTTCAGATCCTTCCGTTTCTGCTCTTATAGGAAGGGGAGGGGAGTCTTGATTCATTCACATCAGCAGAGAAATTCTATAGCTCCATGGGCATCGAAAGGAAAGAAAGCCCCGCATGTCATCAGTGGTCAGCACTCAACACACATACAAGTTACCTGGGGATCTCGTTAAATGCAAATTCTGAGCCTGGTGTGGGAACAGAGATTCTGCCTTTCTAACAGGCTCCCAGTAGATGCTCCTGTTGCTAGTCCATGGGGCTCTCTCCAAGTATCCAGGATACAGACATGTATAGAAAAACAAGAATGACCGCTAAGCACTTTTCATCTCTCTTCCTTAATCCTATGCTTATTTGCAGGACTAAATTAGTTTTCTCTACTAGTTAATAATCAATCGGAGAATTCTCTTGTTCTTATTCTTACGTTTTCCATTTCATTTGCTTTTGTGATGGAAAAAAAAACTCCTCTAAACTATTTTAGATTACAAGGTGGTTTTGTGGAGAGAAAAAAAAAATCTGGAAGGAGAAAATGTAAGAAGATTCTTTTTATTTAAAGCAAGCATTACTGTGTGTGTGTGTGTGTGTGTGTGTGTGTGTGTGTGTGTGTGTGTGTAGTGAGTTATATCAACCCCAAATCCTAAACAGCACTAATATAATTAAACTTACTTTACTAACCAGAATAAATATTGATCAAATTGTAGACTTCTTCTGGAATTGTTATAAAACACATGGGACATAATACTTGAAACACCGAAATGGCTCACGCAGATGAGATTGTGTTTACACATTAGTCGGCAGTTTACTGGGCTATGATTCTTCAGTTTATTCTATTTTTCATGTCTTTGGGACACAAGAAATCCAATATGCTCCTTTGAAATGTGCTGCTTCTTAATGTAGAGTGTAAAATTCTAGCTGTACTCTATTTAGCTGTACAGACTTTTCAGATTTACCCGCAAAGCTCTGTTTCTCCAGAGCATGATTGGCCAGGTGAGCACTTACCCTTCTCAGCTGTCCTTTAAACCAACTGCAGGATCTTCCTGAGTACCACGAGGAGGAAGTGACACCTGCTGAAAGCAAAACCGCTGATATGCTGTGACTAGTAGTTTTCCTGGGTTAGTAACAAGACAGTCAGGTCATTTATTTTGTCTTTAATAATTATAGCGAAAAAATTCCATTAGAAGAAAAGAGCAAAATATTGAAAACAGTTCAAAGGAAATGAAATAGCTGCAAAATGATACTTACAGTCTTTCTTGTCACTCCGCAAGCTTAGTTTTTAAAAATTAAACTTAAATCACAAAATTAATTTAAGTACCTAAAACAGAACAACTTTGTATGACTGATTATCAAATAAAATGTTACCTTTTAAAATTGTTATTATTATTATTTTGTGTATATGAATGTTTTGCCTGTGTGTATGTCTGTCTATATATGTGTGCCTGGTGCCTGAGGAGACTAGAATATGGAGCCAGGCACCCTGTAACTGAAGTTAGAGGTACAGATATTATGACCAGCCACAGATCCCAGGACCACCGGAACAGCAGCCACTGTTTTTAAACACTAAACTACCTCGCCAGTCCCCAGTTTTTATTCTTTAAAAGTGTGTGATGTTAATATTTTTCAAAATATTTAAAACTAGGGGTTTTTTTAGTTCATTCACTTTGGGACACACAAAAGAAATATATTCATAAGCTGTTGTAAAGTGATTCGAAGGCTGGCGCACGGCTCAGGGCTCAAGAACGTGCTGTGCTTTTTCCATGGTCCTGGGTCCAGTTGGAAGAGAAAGAAAAGGAGATGGCAGAAGAGGCAGAGCAATTGTAGCAGCGAAGGAGAATGTAAAATAAAACTTTTTTTTTGCCTGTATGGTATCAGTAAGTGTAACCATGCACTATTTCCAAACCATGCCCACCCAAAATAAACAAACGTAAGAAGGACATTGTAAGTTGGCTGCCTGGAGTTCCAAGTGCTGACTCCTTCCCAGGACTCACCATCACCACAATCTTTACCTTGGAAGTGACATCTGGAGGGGTTATGTCGACAGCTTCATACAGTATGTTGAAATTTTTTTCTAACTCCATGGTAACCATGACAAAGTTCATTTCAGTACTTACCATTATAATGAACATAAAGAACTCCTGACATAATTGTTTGCCAACAAAAATGAAATTGCCTAATTCTAGTGCCTATTGTTCGGTTGGATCCTGGAAACCCATCACAAAGTACAAAAATTTAGAAACTATGACTTCAATTACACTCTAGAATTACACTATGGTTTCACAGGGTGGTTTCCATTTGCCTGGAAATTAAAAGATGTAGATTCTTGTCCTGTTCTGTCACCCACTGGTTGATTTAATAATCAAACTTCCCAAACCTTGTTTTCTTCTATGAAATGAGACCTGTTTTGTATCAATATATCTGAAGTACTTTTCATCAAAATATATAAATTATTAACTTGCATTTTTTAAATAAATGAAAACCTTGTGTCCCTCCTCACTTCTCCACAGTCCTTGTCTGACAATCTTATTCCTCTCCTGAAGGTTTCCGGGAAATTCCCACCAGTCAGTCTGAATTACTAACGAAGATGCAAACTACAGGTCATGGACAAACGACATCATAACAGTCTACAGATGCTATAGATCGGTTGTTAGCCAGCCATGTTTACTGAATCACTAATGAAGATATAAATCGCAAGTCGTGGACAAAGGACAATTTAACTGTGCACAGATACTATAGATCGGTTGTTAGCCAGCCATGTTTACTGACAAGCTGATGGAGAGAAAACACTCCACAACACTGATTGACATCAGCACCTTACAGAGAGCTAACTATAGGCTGGAAGTGGGAGGGGCTTCCGTCAAGCATGCATTGAAGATGCACAGTATCCTCTAAAGAGACAGGGGAGACCACCTTCTAGGGGTTGTTCGACCCAGAAGCACTGTGTAAGCATTCGAAAGGATACACAAGCATGCCTGGCAAGAATGGTAGGGAGCTTTAGATCACCAGAGACTTAACCTTGAGAAGCTGCCTCTAGCAGGTTTAGGTCATGGGCACCCTTGAGGAAGGTCTGTCCTCAAGAATAGAAGATCTAGAACAATAAAGATAAGCTCGAACTGATATTTAGCTTCTCTGAGTTACTCTACTTTCACCATGTAGATCAGGACATGAGTTCCCACATGTCTGCTGCTGTTAAGTGTGAAAATATGATCTCACCTCAGAAAGAAGGAAATGGAGCCTACTGACGGGAATCGACAGCTCTTCAGCAAAACCAATCTGTATTTTGAGCTTCTCTGTATGGCGAAGGACTGAGGGGTCCCATAGGAGACTTATAGTCATGCTTTTCCGAGGAACACAATACAACAAAGCTCCTTCCCCTCCTGTATCGCACACTTGTTTCGAATTTCTTTTTTCCTTTTCCTTTTTTTTTTTCTTGCAGTAAAGATGATTGATAGACTTGGCTTTTAATTATAGTTTAAACGAGATCAATGTCTGGGAAACAATCCAAAAGAGAGGAGTCTTTAAACAGAGTTGCATAGGTGGACCAGTTCAGCTAGTTTAAAGAGAAGTATATCAAGTGATAGAAGACTAGAAATTCAAGCTGACAGTATACCAGAAATATTTCCAAACGGCCCCAATGCATTTGGCCCTACCTGGATGATGATGAAATATCTAGGATTTCTTTATTATTGAATTTTAAAAATGTGCATACTCTCTGGACTCAGATATGAAGGAGGCACACGGTAAATTCTGTTTAATATGAATATTTGTGGTTGCGTTCTGTGCTTGTCACATTTCCACTATTGCTTCAAGAAACACCTGAGATACATCAACTTATAAAGAGAAACAGTTTATCTGGGTTCATAGCTCTTTGGGGGGTCTATGTTAAGAACACTTATAATGCTGTAAAAAGTCATTGGGTAAAACTGCACACCTCACAGCAAGGAAGTAAACTATAAAAACAAGCTATTGTTTTTACTGTGCCCTGTAAGGACTTTCTCCCAATAACCTAAAGACCCTTACGGGATCTTTACTATGGTGTTTCTACCATTTCCCGAAAGTAGCAAAGCAGAGGACTATGCTTTTTATACATAGGCACTGGGGGATACCTAAGATCCAGACTATGGCAAATGCCCAAGAAATCTTGTATTCCACTTCAGTGAGCAGAGAGAAGGCTCCAAGAGAGAAAGGACTAAAATTTACTGAAAGAAAGATAACTGAGAGAAGGCAGAGACTGCGGGATTATCTATGAGTAATGGAAAAGCAAGGTAAAGAAAGCAGTGAACTCCTCAATTCACCCAGTACCTTTCCTCAGGGAAAGAGTTTGGCTTTCATATAACCAGCAAGTTAATATTGGCAATAGCTCAGCCACTAAAGCAATATCCAGTAAGCTACTGAAACCACAGAGAACTTTGAAACACAGCGTCTGGGTTTCAGTGTTATTCCCAAGAAATGTCCATCGTCTGCCTTTAACACCTCCTTCTGGGAGGAATGGAAACAGGGAGCAAGTGGACACCCTGGCTGAGTCATACCATCTGGTAAGGGCTTTTCTGCTGTCAAAGAACCCGAGAGATGCTCAAGAGTGATGTTGGCTCCTGAGAGAAGCTTTTCCTACAAGAAGGTAAGCAAGCCTCCAAGTTCCAACTCAGGAACAATATGTCTATGAAGAGGAAGGAAAAGCTGTCTGGGTGCCTGCCCAGGCAGGTGTTTTCAAAGCAGAGACCATGCCTAGGGTGGCACAGCCCTCGTGTGAAAGATTCGGGTTCCCCGAAGTGAAGTGTTCAATGATGATGTTTGGCCCGAAAGCCCTCATCAGAGATTGGGTTCCCTCCCTTGCCTCTTGCTTCAGTTCGGTGTTTTGCTTGAATCTGAGTCATAAGCTCCTTAAACTGGCAGGAAATCGAGAGTCAGGCTGGCAGTTCCCTCTCCCCCAAGCAGAGGGAGTGTCTTGGCTGACACCTAAGCAACCTTTTCCATCCCAGACATGTAACAGAACCAATGAACATTGGCAGAATGGAGGCCAGGCTGCCTTCAAGAGTAGAGGAAAAGAAAAAGCCATCCTGGAGAAATGCATTAGCCAAAACCATGGTTCAGGGAAAATAGTTCATAGAATTACCTCAGTCATCCACCAAATCCTTTAAATGGTTTGCTTTAGCCCCCTAAGCTATCTCTGGTCAAGCTTTTATTCAATCCCCACAGCGGATGCCACTGTCCTTCCAGCGCCAACTTGACCCTTCTCCCTAGCAATGCTCAGCTTAATTCTATTTCTCAAAAAATACAGTGATTCCAGAAGTTAAGTCCACACTCTCGGGCTTCTCCTTACTCACAGCTGCCATCTAAACGACTCAGGAAAAAGCTCCATGGCTTCAAATCCCAGTAGAATCCTCACTTGAGTTTGTTAGGTACAGGGGAACTGTGACCAGAGGGAGGGGACAAGATCATCAGTCGGTGACACCCAATCAGTTGTCAAATTAACTCCACCAAGGCACAAGCATACCAGCGAAGAAAGAAGCGGAGTTTGGGGAGGAAAGTTTGGCATGTAAAAGTCATTCACCGATTGCTCCAATGTGGGTGACCCTGCGGTTCAGGGGAAGGGAATGGGGGGTCTGAACACCTGCATGGAGAAAGTCTGCCAAAAGACAGAGGAGTGTTGAAAACCATGGCAGAATCTTGGAAACAATCCTGACCTCCTTCATAGATTTTCCTTTAACCAACCTGGTACTCAAGTTTAGGGCTGAGACTTGGCAAGTTTTCCGCATATAGACCTCAGCAGAAAGTGGCCACCTCACCTGAACCCACCCCAACATTCTGTAGTGCCGCTCTCAGTTCTGCCTTTGTAGTAATATCCAGCCATCGTTTTCTTCTCCTTGGCTCTCATTCACCTCACCCTCAGCTTCCTCAATTTCACTTCTAGCAGGAGGCACCATTGCTTAGCCAGGGATCCAGCCTATTTCCTACCAATAGTCCTCTGTGTTTGTTGCCTGTGGTATTACACAGTGTCTTCTGGTTGCTTGGAGCAGGGTTCTGCCGTCAATCAAGTGTTTGACCTCCAGAAGGTAGTCTTCACCCAACTGATTTAAAGAAAAGCAAAAGCAAAATGACAAAAAGACAAAAAAAGACCTCTGGAATATTTTTAATGGTTCTTCTTGAACTATTAAAGCGTTTCATACTGAATATGTAAAAATAACGTATCTCACTCTCCTAGAGAGAACTCTACAGAACAGCTATATTTCCTATATTTAAAATGCATGCCGTTTTGTTATGAATTGAGCTCTTTCTTGTAACAGACACAGGCTCTTTCTTTATTACAGATATGAACAGCTACACAGTTGCTCCCCAACTCAATATTAGTTATGAGAGATAACATTGAATTATTAATATAAATAGTGTGCTAATAGTGCCTTACCTGTGTTAAAGGGTCTTGGAAAACAGACTCCACACTTAGGATGAAAGGATTTTTCACCCAAATTTCCAGAGTCGAGAAGAAAACACTTTTATAAATGTCGTGCTGAATCCACTCCACCCATTTCTCCCTTTCCAGGGGGTGCAGATAGGAAATGCCCTCCGATCTCACTCCGTGCGCCCAAGCTAGAGGCTTTGTGTCTTCATGTTTGAGCACTACAGAGCTAACCCGACAGTTTGGGTTTAGTCCTGTGAAGGAGTAGAAGCAACTAATCAGGGAGAAAAGAAAACCCAATAGCCAATTCTGTTAGAGAACAGAAAATCCTGAGGGATAATGTTATTAATTCAAAGAATGAAGAAAGACAATTTGATGAAATGTGACTCAACAAAGGGATAGCTGGGGCTGAGGAGTCATCTGAGGAGTCACGAGCACTTGCTGCTCTTCCAGAGAGAGGACTTTGGTTCAGTTGCCAGCACCCCATAGGGTCTCTCAATCATCACTAACTCCAGATCCAGGGAATCTGACTTCCTCTTTTGACTTCTGCAGACATTAGGTGTACATATAACATAACATGCAAAGCACTCACACATACTAAATAAAATAAATCTTAAAGAATGTCTTGACCATCTAAGTTCTCATCATTTGTCTATCTCTGATGAAATGTGTTGCCCAAGGCAGAAGTATTTCCTATACTTCTATAATGGATAAACTGTATTTAATGAAGAACATATTACATCATACAGTTTTTGTTGAATAAACTTCACATAAATATTGCAGCCAAAGGAATGAAGTTCATGCAAACAAAAGAATCTTGAAATACCTCTTGTGGTGGTACACAACTACAATCCCAGAGGTATCTAGACAGGGTTGGATCATTGCACTTTTGAGGCTATCCTGAGCTAAATAATGAGATGCAATGTTCAATAAAACTGAAATGGATTCTTTATTTCCATTTTTGAGCCAATGAAGAGGACAGATATTTTTCAGTAGAAGGTTTAAACTTCTTCTTCTGGAGCCACTACCAAGGAATGTCCGTAAGACGGTAAGAGAACACTGTTCAGACTTTGCCTGGCCACTCGCGCTCAGCATCACTTTGGTATGACCACTGACTGACTGCCTTTTCTAATTCTTTCCACTCTCCTCTGATCCTCCAGGTACTTCCCTTCTCAGATTGCTCTGTTTCTCCACAAAAATGGTTAACATACTGCACAGACCATCCTGAGATGGCAGAACTGTAGGCTCAAAGTTTTGTAGACTCTGAAGCAGCTGTCAAATTAAGCATAAATAAGAAATCATTCTTGCCCATCTTGATAATGGCTTATGAATGCTCTTAAGTAGAAATGAGAATGAAAAATGCACTAATTTCCAAAGGTTTTTCCAAATGAAAGTCCTGAATGTTAAGGAATCATTGCAAAGATCTGTGTATTTAGTAGATGCTGCGGAGATCAGTGTAAATCAAGGCACTGCATGCATGCCAAGGATACATTTCTCTCTTCCATAGTACTCTGCCATTTGAACACCCTGGCCTCCCCTGCTCAGAGTGTCTACCAAGCTCCACCTAGGCTCTCCCTTTGTCAGTCATGGCCTTTCATCTCTCTAATGTCATAAGCTAGACAATTGCAGTTTATCCACTTGTATTTTCCATCTGTCTGTATCACTGTCTTGAGTTCTCTGATAGTTAATGTCTTAAAACTCTTCTTTCAATCTGGTTGTCCTATTATGGTGATTATTTCAAGTAAGCAGATGAGAACGGACCCTCATGATCTGCTTTAACTAGAAGACCAACACCTTAAAAAGGTGTAACAGAAATTTGGGCCATATTTAGTGAACTAAACTGCTCTGAACCCATGGCTATAGACTCACCATGCCCCTGCTAGAGCAAAACTATAGTCTAAGTGCGACCATGTAGTGAATTCAAACCACTACGTTGTGAAATATGGTTCTAAAATGGGCCCGGATAACCAGTTCCCAAAAGAGACATAGAAATGCTCAACAAGTATGTGGAAAGGGCTCCATATTGCCAGCCACCAGGGAAATACAATTCAAAACCACAATAGATAGCACCACACCCCAGCTAGCATGGCTATCATTCAAAAGGACATGAGATAGGATCTGGCCAAAACGTAGAGTCCAGAGGATGCTGACTCACTGTTCATGCCTAGACAAAGCCAAGGATTTGTGATGGCAAACTGCACGGGTTCCCCAGATTGAAAGTTGATGGCTGCATGACATAGCAATGTGTGTCTCTCCAAAGGAAAGGAAATCAGCACGTCAAAGAGATGCTGAATTCCCATGTTTATAGCAGCACTACACATAATAGTTAAAACACAAACCAGGCTACACGACCCTCAGTGGGTATACTAAATAAAGGAAATGTGGTGTGTATGCTCAGTAGGCAGTTCTTTGCCCACAAGAAGAAGGAAATCTACCAAAATCTATACCAATTAAGTAAAAACTGAACTTAAATATACATTAGCTGTACTTTTGTGGTGACTATCCATACAATCAGGTTGCTTTTAATTTTCAGTGCAGTGTGCAGGAATTGCATGCAGTATGCAGTATTAGACATGAACCAGACTTCATACTGGTGGATTTTGCCTCACTGCAGACTGATACAAGTGCTCTGAGCATATGTAAGACAGGCTAGGTTGAGATGGGGAAGCACGTTTTCACCTTGTGATGCGTTTCTCTGGAAACAGCACTATCTCTATATTAAGGAACATCTGTGTTATATTGTTGAGAAATTTAGAGAGATTTTATGTGCTTTTGCCATAAAACTATAATGTGAGGTAATGCAGTTGTTCATTAGCTAAAGTGAATCATTCCAGGGTGTTTATAGACCTCAGAACATCGTGTTAGGTAGGATGCAAACACCCAGTCAGTTTCAAAATAAGTAAATAAGTAATGTTAACCGTGTTTGTGTGTGTATGTGTGTGTGTGTGTGTGTGTGTGTGTGTGTGTGTGTGTATAAAACATTGAATGACCAGGATGCACAGTTCTGTGAAGGTTGTTATAACCATCCTTTCAAACAACAAACTGTATACCTTAGTCCCTCAGTTCTCAAAACTGGAGAATGGTTATCCAAAGAAAAGGCCCCATTTCTTTGTGCACTTCCAAGGGCCTCTTGGCTAGAAACAAATACTTTTGTTCAAACTTGTGCAAATGCCCACATTATAAAAATCTCACTATTTTATAAGCCAGAGAATGAAAGGAACAAGAGTGTCTGAAACTGTAGCTAACGCTGATAGCATCCATAACAAAATGTATGCATGTGGCTGAAGAGATGGCTCATTCATTAAGAGCAAACATTACTCAGCCAGGCCGTGGTAGTGCATGTTTTTAAACCCAGCACCCAGGATGCAGAGGCAGGCAGAGTTCTGCAAGTTCAAGGTCAACCTGGTCTAGAGCTCGAGCCACACAGAGAAACCCTGTCTAGGAAAACTAAAGAGCGTGCACTACTCTTCCAGAGGACCAGGGTTTGGTAGCAGCACCCACTTGGGGTGGCAAACCAACTCCTGTAACTCCAGCTCCAGGGAATACAAAGCCACAGACTTCCTCAGGCACCTGCACCTCCAGGAACACACACACACACACACACACACAGACGCACACACACACGCACTATACTGTGAAAGGTAGTTTACCTTTTACTAGAGTGTGCATGTCTTTGCCTGTGCATAAACAGGGATGTGTTTATGTGCAATAGGTCCTTCTTGGCATAACTCTCCACAAGGGACCACCCATCCTGTGAGACAAGGGCACGCACCTCTTCACACTGTGTGATTTGTCCATCTTATCCCAGCTTCAACCTGCTAAATTTCAAACCCAGGACAGAGGACTGAAGTGCTCACTTAACATACCAAAACACACCTGGCCGCCAGGTTCTCCCAGCATCCCTCAGTCCCTACCTGTTACAGGATATGGCTGGCAAACCCAGCCCTCTACCCTGAACTTTTCAGGCTGGGGGGGTGGCGGGCTGGACTGTCCTTCCCCCAGAAGCTCTTCCCTATATAATCCAGATGTTGTCCTTACCTGCCTTTTCTTTGGCCTCCTGGATACTACACCTCTCTCTCCTCTCTCTTCTCCTTTCCCTCTCTCCCCATGGTCCAGCTCAATCTGATCCATCTACACTGGACCCCCCCAGGTGTCTCTGCCTCTGGCTATGTTCTCCCTTTTAACTACAGTCAGCCTTTTCCCCTGCCATGCCTAGGAGCAGTCATGGCCTTTCCTTTCCTTTCGAATTCATTTTCTTATTCACACCCTGCACATACAGACACACTGCAGCCCACTGAACCCATCTAGTTTGGTCATTCACATTTGGAATCAAATACAAAATAGCAGAGGCTTGAAGTGTGCAGCCCAATCACTTTAGCAGCATCGGGTACAGGCTGCTGGGATGCCTGGCAACCTTTCTTTGCTGCTAGGTTGTCTGGTAACCTTCCTTTAACTCCCTTTTCCGAAGACTTTGGGGTTTAAGCCTGTTTTAGTTCAGCAAAATAACCCCAGCATCTTTCCAGTCGATTCTTTCCTTGTGGTTTAAGTTGGTGTTTATTCTTGCGGACTGAAACTCGCAGAACTGGCGCACTACCCTAAGAACATTTTTGAAAGCTATACAAGATATGAAGCCTAATTATCTCCAAGAAATAAAGAGGACTGTGGATGTCGGTGGTAAAGAAAGGAACTGTATTCCCGTAGGCCGCTCTGCACTCACAAAGGTCATGTCGCTGTGGTTTGGCGTAGTTTGACTTGTGTTTGTTGTTATACTAGGAATGTGTTTAATTCACATACCGGTTTCAGGTCAGGCAAATTGGGCTTACTTTCACTCTCATATTAAACAGAGACACTCTGATAGTAACAGAAGCTTCGGATTTTTCATTCTCACCTTTATCCCAACTCCTGTTCAGTCCAGCCTCCTTTTTTTAAGGATGTGCAAACTGAATCCAGATTAGTTAATATATGGCCAATTACTTCGAAACCTTGATATCATGAGGCTATTGCTTAGATTAGGTCAAAATTATTCCCACCTAACAGTATGAGTAACAATGATTTTGAGTACAGTAGAGATTAAGGGATCTAACTTCTTCCTGTCAAATTCTCTACTGTTCTTCCTTTAATATTGCACTTCATTTTTATCCAATTTTGAGACTCACTTTGCTTGATAATCCCCCACCTTGAATAGAACACTGAATTGCAATGGGTTGATCAGTAATTGTTCTACACATTAATACAATTTGTCTTCATTAAAGTACATCTCCCCAGGCACATAGAGAGAACTACTCTATCTACATGTACTAGAATTTCCAACGGAGCTGTGGAAACTAAGGTGGAAGTTAAGGGGGAGTGGCTGATGGCTAGACCAGCTGGTGCCACACAAGAGCAATTATAGGAGCTGAATCCTCAGCACCTGCAGGAGATGCTCAACAGAGGCAGGGTATGGAGACAGAGGATTCCTGGGGTTTGCTGGCTAGTCCAGCCAAATCAGTGAGATCCAGTTTTAGTGGGAGACCCTGCATCAAATAATTAAGGCAGAAGGTGATCAAAGAAGGCAGTCAATGCAGATCTCTGTCCACAACACGTGCCCGTGCACACACATATATAAGAAGAAAAACAACATGACTATAAGTGACATAGGAAGACTCCTTTAGCTCCCTGAGTTAAAAAAAAAATAGTATGTTCAGAAAGTATTCATCTCCCCAAATGAAATTAGCATAAATCAGGATAAACTTACCAAATTAGCTATTCGTCGAACTAATCCATCCTGGGAGGTGACCTAGAAATGCTTTGAAAAATGGAACCCAAAGCTTTCCAGTCCTGAGAAGTTTAAGAAATCTGGACTCAGGTGTGATAATTACAAAGCAGTCAGCTGGGCAGTTGTGTTTTACCTTGCTTGGGATGATGTCATGGCTCTCTGGCAGTTGATCATAAAATAAGAATCCAAGAATAGGAATGCAGCACTGTCCAGCACTGCTGTGAGAATCGGGGCCCAGGCCTGGGCCACTCTGATTCTACTCAAGGGACCACGGGACTTATGCAGGCAGCAGGTGTTTCCTAGACCAGTAATTTTAATAGAAATAGGGTCACAGAAAAAGGGGGTGGAAAGAGAAGACCCAGATGGAGGGAAAGGGAGATACACATTAAGGAACAGGAGAAAAGGGAATCGTGTTGGGGAGAATTCTGAAGGAGAACAAGAACCTCATCGGCTATAAACAAGCTCTTTCGGCTACTCAAAATAGAACACAGGTAAGGGCTTGACCTTCTCCTGGATGTCTGAGGTAACAACATTTTAACAAAGCTCCCATTGTCGTTTATATTTTTCCTAGAATGATGTTAAGTGTAATGGTGATTAGCTCTGTGCTCTTGAAAATTCAGGACTAGCCCCTCACTCCTCTTTACACAGAGCCAACAGTTAACTCTCCATTTTCTACCTCCAGCTTCATCTTCCAGTCGCAATCTGTCTTGGTACCCAGGCTTTCATTTACGATTCTAGATCCCATAACTACGCCTGCTTTCCCCTATTCCCTGAGCCTTTTCATACTCGGTGCTCCCTAGGCAGAATAGAAAGCCCCCAGCTGCCACCCTTGTGCTTGCTGGGGAGTTTCTTAGCCAGAAAGAATAAGCCAAGCTTGCTTCTGGACCATTCGTGCGTCCCACACAGAATGATTTGTGCAGATCTGGGCATTTTCCAAGTGACCTGAAGTCACTCCAGTGCCTTCCACTCCCCAGATAAACACTAAGCTCATACTGGCAGCTGCATCCACACTCACCTGCACATGCTCATCCCTCATAGCACCTTCTGTCAGACACAGGAGAACATGGAACAGATTCGCAGATGGACAAACGAAGGAAGTGACAAACTGCGGTCAGGAACATCTATCCCACAACTTGAAAATAATACAGAATGAATGCTTTCTGGCTGTCTTCAGATGCTGCAGGGCTGACTGTTAATTTGAAGGGAAAGAACAGCACAGCGGTAGAATTGACTCCCAGCCATGGCACACAGTGAATTATACCAACTGAGAGTCTCACTTATATCAATGCTTCTACCTTGGTGCTTCTTTCTCTTACTATGCTAAATAGTAATAATAGTCGTAAAAATAAGGTCACACGCATTATTTTATGATTCTGTATTTGAAAATTGTGCTGGAACACTGTACCGAAACATCTTCACTTAGCAAGTTGTTCATGAACTACCAAACTGCATAGGCTGCATGTGTGCCAGTAAAATGCAGAGCATGTTTTCTGTTGAGCACTTAATATTACAGTTGTATGGTAATATGGAACTGAGAGTCATATGTTAGTTGCAATTGTGATACAAAATAAAACACCATCAGATTAATACAATGGGGTCCTGGAGAGCAGGTAGTTGTCAAGTTTCTGTGGGGAATTATAGGTAGGACTGCATATATTATACACAAACATATATTATATGCACATTGGATCACTGAAACATAACTGATACATTGTCAATCCATTTCCCACCCAGTAATTTCAACTGTTTCTTCGTCACAAGTATGCATCACACACTGTAGTCACAGGGAACAATGTTAACTCTGTTGCTTAGCTCCTTTAATCGCCGTTACTCATTCTTGCCTGCTATTTGCTTTTCCATCATTCCGACCGAGGCCTGTGTATCATTCCCCCACCAGACATGCCCCACTCATTCAGGTGGAAACAGGAACGTTTCCCAATCAAGGCAACTGAACAGACCATATTAAGCAAAAAGACTGTAAGTCTAATGGCCTATTACTCATAGCTAACCGATGAGCCGCTGAAGACGGTTGCTCAGAAGAGTTTACTAAAGCAGTAAATTATCCCATTGCATTCCCCCTCCCCCTTGTCCGGTTTGGATGTGTGCATTTGCCAGAGCTGCTCCTCTCATTCTTTAAGATGGGCCCGACACTCATTCAGTCTCTCGAGCCTGAACTCCACAGCGGCAGCCTCCATTCAGGCAGTCAGTCATCTTAGAATCTATGGGGTTTGTTTCCTGTGACCTGAGGGCTTCTTGGAGGCTGGGAGTGCTCTTCTGCCTGAGACGACACCTCAGGGCGGCTCTAAGAGAAGAGCCTAGCAAAGTCATTGACGTAGCCCTTGGGTTCAAAATAAATCAATCCATTAAATGAATAAATAATTCTTAGGAAATATAGTATGTGTGATTAGAGCCATATCCCAGTTTTCTTTTTCTTAGCTGGCATTCCTTGGGAGTGGAAAAATATCAAAGGCATTCCCACACAAAAGTCCACACTGAAGTATGTTTAAGTGTCGAATTGAGAACTAACAAAGGGCAGGAAGCAGGGAGTTCAGAATTTAACTCGCCCTGAGCTCACCCTATTGTGCCTAGGTACCAAGAAAGAACTCAGGGTCAGAACTAGCTGCTTCTGTTTCCTTTCTCTGTTGAGATAGTACACTTCAAAAACTATTGATTTGACAAGAGATTTCCAAGTGTGGGTGAGCCATACAGGTTGGCAACCCCTGTGTAACTCTAACTTTCAAAGGCACGTTTCAACCTAACATCTTTTCAAAGTTACAAAAGCCTCTGTTACCTTCGGTGACTCCCATTTTCTGTGTGTC